ATCTTTTTGCGAAAATTAGGGAATGTCTGAGGAGCAGCAGCTTGAGTCAATGATTTATTTATCGTTTACAGCACTGATCAGTGATGATTCATTTATAGAATATAGAATATATAGTGCTGCATAAATAACTCTATAAATTCCATAGCTGACCCATAGATGGGGAAGTCTCACGCTCTCATCTCTAAGGTTGAAGCCAACGACCCAGCAAAGTTTGTTGGCAAACTTGTTCTGACTTTTTTTTTTTGTTACAATTGCAGATTCCTTTCTTTCCTTCTCATATATATATATATATCTACATTTTTTGTTTGCTTTCTATTGCTCTAAGACAATGCACCATTAAACTGCAGTCTCCAAAGACTCCACTGGCACTGTGTTCTCTCTCTCTCTGTTTCTCTCTGACTGCCATTTCCATTTCAGTTTCCATGCAAATTTCTGCGTTGTTTTTGTGTCGAATATTTTTGCTCTTTCCGGGCACATTTGTCAAGGTGTCTTGTAAACAAGGTAAGCCAGAACCCCAAGAACAGCAACCCCAAGAACAGAACCCCAAGCACCGTTAGATCAGCTGCAGACAACGTTCTTATATAACGCATTGCAGCAACCAAATTTGTATGTTTTATTGGTTGCCTCTTTAGGCCATAAATGGTAGTGACAAAAGTCGGAATTTATGGTGCGCTGACAGCTCTGATAAATAACCTTAGGACTGGCCAGACTGCAGGCAGGCAGGCAGGTTTGTCTTTGGGTTAGATAATCTTATGGCGGGGGGCAGGGGGCATGCTGCATGTGCTGCAGGTTGAAAGGGAATCCAAGAAAGCCATAAACATTTTTATCATCGCTTTGGTTCTAATAGCACTCTGACGTGTTGTGGCTTGGAGGTTAATTAGCAGCGAATAAATGGGCTGTTGAAATTCCAATTCGTTTGGGAATCCAAGCTGGGAATGCATTTTGGACAGCAGTTCTTACAGTCAGCCAATGAAAGAGAGGAGTGCATTGTGTGGAGCAGCATATAATAGAAATCTTTGTCCAAGGCAGTTGGGAGAAGGAAGAAACTTTACGCTTCACAATGAAAATAAATCACAATAATAAATAAATTAGTCAGAGATTCTCCACAGTTAATCTTAGGCTCATTTCAAATATTCGATTTGGCTTTAAATGTTCATTTGATATATGTATGTAGTTCTCCCTAATAAAAAACAAAATATAAAATAAATAAATAATAATAAATAATAAATAAATAAAATAAATATATAAAATAAAATAATGTTTCAGCAGAGTTTCAACCACTTTTTGTTAGCTTTGTTGCTGCAACCTTCTCCTGCCCATATACTCGCATAAGAGACATCATCTAATCTCATAATACTCCCCTATATGTAACCTAATGTCAACTAACACCAGTGCCATTCGGTCTCTGGTTTCTTGCCTCTGCGCCATGTGCACTCGAATGGAACTCCATGCGATGCCAAAACTAACCAGAGGCAACTTTTGGTGTCTTTGGTGGGGCTGCCGCTGCCGTTGCTGATGCCATTCGGATAAAAGAAAGAAACTCTCCACATATGGACAGGCCTTTTGGTTAGTCGCCGTTGCAGTTCGGTTCAGTTTTTGTTTGCTGCAGTTTTATTTATATGTACACTCTTTTTTTTTCTTTTTGTTTTTTCTTTTGTTGTTCAGCTGGTTGCCTCACCGTTCTCAATATCAGATTACGTGCGGGCTATCTTTTGTTGCATGCCTTGCCGCGTTCGAGGCTTTTCCTTAAGTGCTGGCTGCTGCCAGAGAGTTGAGCTCTCTTTTCGGCATATCAGATGTTGCTAATGTGTGCTGCTGGCAGCGCTCCACTTGAAAGGAGAGTTCGCCCCGTCTTCCTTGGCCAGATACAAGATACTTTTTTCGACCTTGAGATGGCAGGCCAAGCCTCAGTTGTTGCTGCTGCTGCTGCTGCCACTGATAATCAAATTTGGAGGCACGCCCCGCTTTTGGTAGTTCTATCGCCAAGTGCAGTCAGCTGCATGAAGTGCTGCGCCCAAGGGGCATCGATTAAACATTAATTTGATATTCGATAGCGGCAGTTTTTTTTTTGTTTTTTGTATAATTCAAGATTTGCCAGAGGCCCCGAAAGAGCTACGAGATGGGGTCTAGATGGGGTGTCTATATCGGCAAGCTACATAAAATAATATCTAGAATGAGAGGATCTGAGCATTGAGTTTGGATTTGAATGAATATCAGGGGGATGGTATAGGAAATAATATGGAATAGGATCTACCACAATTCAGTGCGCTATGAAACAGGATGAGCTCCCAGAAAAAAATCTCCAAGAACACTCCACTCCAGTCCTCTCTTTGCAGCGCATTTACAATTCGTTGCTCTCAAGCTAAGCTCTGTCCCTGCCCCTTTGCCCATTGCCTAATGAAGCTTTCTTCCCGTTTTCCCCCTCCATCTGCGCTCGCTGGGCTCTTACATTTTCAATTGCAGGCAATTAGCAAATTCTCTGTGGGCCTCCGCCTCGCCTCGCCGCGCCGCGCTTCGCCTTTAATGAACGTCTAACATAAAATGTCGTCTTACATTCAAGTTTTATAGCTTCCGCTTTTCATTATCAAATATTATTGGTGGCTGTTCTTTCTGCTTTTTCTGTTGCCTCTTTGCTGTTTGCAATTGCATGTCGTCACGTCAGGCGCTCAAAGAACTTGCAAGAAGAACCCGCCCGACCTGCTGCTGAAAGGCAGTTGGTATACAACAACAACAACAAAAAACCCTTGGCTATCTAATGATGATCATTAGGAAGCGGGTCTGTAATCACACAGAAGCAGAAGCTGGAGATGAAGTTAAAGCTGATGCTGAACCCAAAGCTGAAGTTAGTTCGTTCCTCTACATCTTTCTATTCCTCTGCTGCTGCTGCTGCTTCTGCTGCTTCGTCTTGCGTTTTGTCAACATGAAACGGTAATTTCTTCAACAAAAAAAAGCACACAAAAAACGACCAGAATTCTTTGAGCTTTGAGCAGCCGAAGCTGTAAATACTCTTACAAATTGATCGTTGCTGTGACAGGTTTTCAGATTTTTGTGAACTAATTTTGTATCAACTTTGGCTGAATTTTCAGTACATTCTTTTTATGGGAATTATATTGTGTGGTGCATTGTGTAGTGCTTTGACTTGTATATTTTTTGGTGAGCAAACAACAGAAAAATCTCCACTTAGATTAATTTTATGTAGATAAACTTAAGAGACTTGATCTTTGCCCAAAATGTATTTAAAATAATATATATTATTTTTTTTATTTTTATTATTTGCTATTATTTATATATAAATATTGTCCAAGTCCCAATACCCTCGGCAAGCTTAGGGTATACTAAGAAACAACAGTAGACGTAGAAGTAGAAGCAGGCAGCTGGATCTACAAAGATTACCGGGAACATTTTTGCCCATTGCCAGTGCAACCTACATTCCCTCCCATTGAACCTCCTCCTCACTGAACCTCTATGCCTGTCGCCAGCCTCTTCCCCTTTGCGTGTGTGTGTGTGTGCGTTTTTTGTTGTTTGCTGCCAGTGTGACCATTGTAACGGCTTTGATTAGTCTGAGGAAGTCGCCTAAGTATTGTCGTCGTCGTCGTCGCTTTTGGCTCATCTGTCCCATCTTCGCCCCACAGGGCTTTGCTCTCGTGCGCCCCAATGATGGGACTTTTTTGTTGTTGTTGCTGCTGCTGCTGCTGCTGGCACTTTAACAGTTAAATGTTTAGTTTACATCATTAGCATGCCGTTGCCAGATACTTTCCTACTCTCTTCACTAATAAATAAGCAATTTTGTTTGGCGCTTTCTGCCTCTGTCTTTCGCTGACTATCGATTTAATTGCTCTGTTGCGTTGCGGAGAATGTTTTTAATTTGGCTGGAAGTTGCATGAAGAACTGAAGACACTTAAATGGGTCTGTACAGTGCGGCATTTTTGGTGTGGGTTAAGGGAGGGGATATACATGTGTATATATAGTAACTTACACATATAACCATGGCCATTTTGAGGTTCGTTTTAGGGCTAGAAATGTAGCTAAGGGCAGTGTAAATTCCCTGATTAAATAAATAGAAATAATTTAGCATGTTCTTAAAATGTTTTCATATTTTAGTTTAAATTCTGAGCATCTCTGAGACCTAAATCACTGGCTCTATGTACCCATAAGAGTCATTCAAATATAACTTATGTACCTACATTTATTTTGGGAACATAATCTTGAAAATGCTTCCTGCTTCACATGGCATTCCATTCTTTGGACTGTGGTTATTCCCTTTTGTGTGCAAAAATAATTGATCAATAAAATACTATTTCAATTCCGTGGCTATTCCAGGAACCCCAACCAAATGTAAAGTGTTTTTTTCTGCTTTTGCTCATTTCCACAGCCATTAACCCGCCGAAGGAGGAGGAATCATTGCCTCTAGAAAAAGTTCTGTGAAGTTCGTTGGCTGAGTCTTTTGTTTGCAGTTTATTTTGTATCTTTGTCTTTGCCCAGTCTTTGCCCAGTCTTGTAGGTGCACTGAAGCATGCACTTTTAGCTGGCACTGTCTCTATTATTTATTTATCTGGCCACCAAGTCGCTGGGTTCTATTAACAATGTAAACAATACCGTTAACACGACGCGACACGACACGTTGGGAAGAAACTTTGGAAAAGAGAATGAAATGTGCCGCAAGAATTTGCCAAGAGGAAAATGGGGGAAAATGCCGACTCCACCAACTGCATATTTTACTCAACTCACTCCCTGTGCAATCCCCCCCCACCACCCCACACCCCCCCTTTTGGAAATGCATCAACGAATCGAACAACAAGAACAGCTATGTACGAGGAGAGCGTACGTACAACATCAACAACAAAAAAAAGCGTGAAAAAGAGGCGACAAGAAAAACGGTTTGAGGAAAACACTTATTAAATTTTAGCATGCCCAAAGACGCAGCAGGGCAGCAGCAGGGAGAAGGAGGAGGCAGCCAGACAGAAAGCACCGCAACGGAAACCGCAGAGAAGTTCACATACCTGGGCTAACGTGAGGTGAGGCTCCGTTCGGTTCGGCTTGGTTCGGTTCGTTCTCCTTTATCCACTGCTAGAGTCGAGAATTTTCCATGCTTAAAGCTTAATGGTGAGACACAATAACAAAAATTTCAACAATTGATGTTCGTTCGTTCGTTTGTTTATTTGTTTGTTTTTACTTGTGACTTTGTTTGTTGTTGTTTTATTGTGGCACTTCACTGACCCCCGAGGGTTCGCTCATCCTTAACCAGAAGAGAGTCTTTTGTCATACCCGTTTGTGGTCTGCTGTTACGATTATTCTTTCCTTATTTCCTTCTTTCTTTCTTTCGTTCTGAACGCGTCGCGTGCTGAGTCCGAACTGAGCGCCGGCCAACAGGTACGAGTTGCTTTTAGAGAAAAAGCATTCGGAAGAAAGTTGTCTGCATACGCCGCGGCATTCTGTACGCGAGCGCCGCACAAAGATTCTCGTTCGAAAGCTGCTGCAGCCGAACAGAAAGAGAAGAGAACTTCCACTTAAGAGCGAGCATCTGCAAAGAGAGTGCGCTGCTCTGCTCTGCGCTGCTCTGCTCTGCTCCGCTCTGTGCTCTGTAGATTAATTACTGCCTGTGCAGCTGATAAGCATGAAAATGTCGCTTGTTCGCCGCTTGTTGGCCAATTAAAAATTAGTTTTCGCTTTAGATTTGTTCGAACGATATGAAGGGTGAGTATGAAGGTTTGCCAGCCATGCCCAGCAAATGATTGCAAAGATAAATGTTTTTTTTTTTTTTTTTGGTTTTGTTTACAATAATCAATTGAAGAAGGTGAATGAACCTTCAATTTTTAAACAAAAAAGCGACAGAGAAACCCAAGCCCAGATCTAGTCAAAATATTATAGATCTATTGAAAAATGTAAAAAAATACCAACATTTAAATTTATTGACACCTTTTTGTGCAGCATAAAAGGGCTAGGCTCAAGGGGCTTAAAGTGAGGACACTGAAATTCTAGGAAATAAAGAGGCACTACGCTGGAAGAGCGGCGCAAAGAAAATACTATGGTTATTTCTGGTTTATGCATAAAATAAAAAAATAAAATACAATACATTACATTACATTAAAATAGGTGTGGACGAAAGACCCTTTATGATGGCCCCTAAAATTCAGCAAAACTCTCAACAAAAATCCAGAATGGGAAAGAATCTGTAAATTCGGAGAAAAAAGTGAAATTCGAACAATGATTAATCATGGCTGATTCAACTCTTTTGCTCACATCTAAATCATTTCCATATGCCTATTGGCCCAGCCAATTATAAAATCGTTTTTCCGTTTCCCCACCACAAAACGCATCAGCCAAAGATAATGTGAAAAAATATACAAACATACATACATGTACATATATACGCGTATAAACCCCCATAAAGCACAGACATTCATTCTGCTGCCGATGAAGCCCCCAAGTAAACAATTCCAGGCATTTGCTCCATTACTCATAATGGCGCAGCGCAGCCCAATGTCGCGGTTGCATCCCATCCCATCCCATCCACAATGCTGCCACAAGAGCAGGGGGCAGGGCTGTGCGAAGGGGTCTGTGTCTGGTCTGGTCTGGTCTGGCAGCAAAGGTGCACCCGCCCATGTTGTTCGCAAAAGTTGCATAAATCTGTTCGATTCATAACCCAAAGATGGTCGAAAAGGAGAAGAGAGAGGTGAGAAAGAAGAAGTGTGCGTGACGTGAGGGTGGAGCACCTGATAAAAGTTTTTCCAATAAAACACATCTCATATTTAAATATTTAACAATTTCTAACAGCTTTTCCCACCACTTTTATACATTTTCCACCTGTCATTATACACCTTTTACTTAAAAGAATATTTACAGTCAATAATTTGATTAATTCCATCTCCATTTCAGAGCTCACGCGCTCATCTCCAATTGCCGCTGGCTTGTTTCCTTTATCAACCTTGTCTTTATCGATCGCGTTGAAGATTTTGTCTGCTCTGTCCCTGGGTCTGGGTCTGTCCGCCTTGTCTGTTTGGAGCTCTTGTTGTGGAGCTTGTTCTGGCCCTGCTCCGGCTCTGCTCTGGCTGGCTTGTTCGTTCCCGTTGAGTCGTCGCTTTGTCTTGACTCCTGGCAACATCTTTAAGCTGCACAGGCAGAGGCAGAGTGGCAGAGGCGTGCCCCTCGCCGAACGAATAAAAACAAAATAATATAGAATGAAATATTTATCGCCATTAGAGCCTGATTAGCTGCGGGCGTGTTCTTACCCTCGTTCAATAATTCTCTCTCCTCCAGCTTGTTCTTCACTCTGTTCGGTGCCAGTTCTTGGGGCGTGAAGCAGTTTTTGGGAGGGCACTTAATAAGCTTTTCGCTCTTCGGGTGTGATTGTGTGATGGAAAATTGATATGTCCATTCAATTACGCTTTAGCTTTGGCTTTAGCCGCGTTCTTTGTCGTGTCAATAAACTGATTGCCATCGTGTGTCCAACAACTTGCTGACCAATTAGTTTTCTGTGTTTCGGCCTGCTCTTGCCTTTGCTCTCTCTCCCAACGAGACTTGTTCGATCTATTCGATTGATAACGCTGGAAGACTTCGCTGAGAGAATAAATATCAAGATGGCTTGGAATTTACACCACAAATAAACTATAAGCAAGAGTCATCTTTAAAGGTAGGTAACTTTATTTGGGAGCGTAATTTATGGATCATTTAGGAACGAACAAGTGAAACTAGGCAGGGAATATGTTTGATTTTTCTCATTCATGTCTGTACTTTTTTGCCATTATTATTTATTTATTTTATTATTATTATTATTAATATTTTCTCTGGTCTCTATATGATATAGAGACACGATCGTGCAGTTTTCAACTTTTCTAAAAGCCTCCTACGCACTCGCATCGCTCGATTGTCACTGCCGTTGTTTTTACTTCTAATAAAATTACCTTGCGCATAAATATATGAGTAAAATATTGTATGACGACCCATAAACCTTTTTTATATAATAATAAATGTTAAATAAATAAATAATAATAAAATAAAATAGTAAAATAATAAAATTGTTCCAGAGCAGAATTTCAAAATTCCGTTTCCTCTTTATTTTTGGTACTAAAAAAACTGTTATGGTGCCATCTGGCGTCTAGTGGTTGATAGAAAAATAAAATATGGCGCCACTATGGCCAATGGCGGCAATAAATGGAAGCTGATATCACCAAATTGGCAGCACTGTTGCGCAACATCTTCGCAGCATTTGTATATGAAAGCCCCAAATTGGCAACATGTGTCTGCTACTATTAGCCAAGTTTAGAACCTTATACGGGTTTGACAAATACCATTACGCTGAGCCACTTAACGAATTTTATGAGTCGTCGTTACGGACTTTTATAATTTATTATAACCAGAAAAATAATAATAATTATAAAAAAATAATAATTTCAGATTCAAGCAGGAAATAAAAAATTGAATGTGTTGCAAAAATAATTCCTTGAGCCCCTCTGAAGCTCCTTTCACTCCTTTCTCCGCTGTCTTCTTGTCCCCACGCCACCATTGAACCATCTGCATTTTACTAAACTTTTTGACAATAAACATTTGGCCAAAAACATGAGCGTGACGACACTTTGGTCGACATCTTGGCTGAGCTGGCGCTGAGCTGAGTGCTAGATTTGTTGCAATTTGTTCTCCTGATTTTCTATTTTTCTTTTGTTTTCAGTTGAACTTTTTCAATCGTGCTGCATATTTTTATGTGGAAAATTTTTCAATTTTTGCAATTGCAACTTTTGCTTCAAGTTGTTTTCCGGGCCCTTTTCGTTGCTGTTTTATTTTTGGGCGACTTTTGTCTAAATTATGCATACAAAAGTGTCGCAGCCACTTAAAGAAAAGAACAGCGCATCAGAGGCAGAGCCAGAGCCAGAGAATGGGAGAGAGATGGACAGACAGACGGAATGGTAGGGAGAGAGAGACAGAGATGGCAGACAAAAAGTTTGTCAGTGCATTTTCCGCTTGAGAAATACTTTTAACACTTTCTGTTTGCCTTTTTCCAACAAATTGAAAACGAAAATAAAGGATTATAAGCGATGGGACAGCCCACAGCACAAGACGGGGTCAGATCGGTTAAGGGGGAGGGGAGGGAGTAGTCGGAAAATTTATGTACACCCTCCCCGCCGGCCCACTGTCTGTCTGTCCCCCCACTTTTTGGCAGAATTTTCTGTTGTCGCGACAAAATCTTTTTACACTTTATTAATTTTATTTCTCTGTTGGCTTTGATAATTCCGAATTTTTTTCCCTTTGCTTATTTTTTTTTCCGTCTGTCTGTCTGTCTGCTGACGCACTTGATGAGGCTCCGCCCCATTTCGCATTATCCTCTTCCACATCAGCGGTTAGCCATTAACGAACAGTTACAGCCTGCGCCTGGGCCTGGGCCTGGCTCTGCGGTTAATTGCCAGCAGCAGCTTGGCCCAATGGCCAAAAGGTAGAGGCTGAAATTATTCAAAGTGTGCAGCGAGGCTGAGATAAGACCTTGTAGGCCATGACAAGGAATTACTTGGCGTCAATTAATCTTCAGGGTTGGTTTTTCTCAACGAAAAATTGTTTTTGCTTATTAAATTAATTAATCACTAACTAGGCGATGATGGCGGCTGTTGCAAGTAATTTGACAGCTTTATTGAGCTGATAGGGAGACAGAGAGGGACAGAGAGCTCAATCTTGGATCTTGGGCAGAGAGGGAGTGAGAGGGATCTATCCTGGATCTCTGACAGAGAGGGAGAGAGAGGGATATTGCCTAGGAAATGCGCCAGACTCCGGGAGAGATCGGACTAAATGTAGCTACTGTTTTTTTAGCTCATAAAAAGTACTCAGAAATGTATAGTGGATCGTTTCTACATACATATATTCTATATCAGAGCTAGACACCGACATTCTCCGACTTTCTCTTCGATTTTAAAATAAAAATTAATAAATAAAATATATAATAAATAAAAAAAAACAAATAAATAAAATATAATAAATATAATAAAATAAAGTAAAATACAAACACACAAAAAAATAAAATGTAAAATATTCAATATAATTTATTTCGTTATTTATTTTATTAAATAAAATGTAAAAATATTTAATATAATTTTACTTCAACGCATAAGCTGATAAACTTTGTAGTAAAACACGCCTTAAATCCAGACTATTAATAGCTGCTTGTATTTCGCTTGCACCTAGCCCTAACCCTAATCAGCTTTCAGTTCCATTTAGTTTCTTAGTCAGGCTGCTTCCACAGGCATTCCAGGAAACCAAATAAAATGCCGCTTATCATTGCAGTTTCGCTTATACGTTCGCTTATCTCAGAACCACCCACCCACACCGCACCATATAAATCATCATTATAAGCATATTTGCAACTGTCCCGCAGAAACCGCCCAACAAACAAACAAAAAACTCCAAGGGAGGCCGCGCGACAGCGACCAGGCTCCAAGTGTGCTAATTACTATAATTTAGCAAGGGCACAGCGGTGTGGGGCAGGCAGGGGGGGGGGGCAGTCGCTAACCACGTAGTTCTAGCAGCCAGTGATAATGTTTGTCAAGCAGACAACAAACCGACAAAAAAAGGCTGTACATCAGAGAGGCGTGACCAGCCGAGGAGACCAGAGGCAGGCAGGAGATGAGTGAAGATAACCCAAGCAGCAGACACTTGTTAACTGGTAATTAGCCTGGGCACATTTACAATTCTGTCATGGAGCCATCCCCCATTAGGATGCAGCTGCTGCTTAATGCCAAGGAAATGTTTACCGAGATTTAAACAGAACCCTTTACTTATTGCCAAAATAAAATCAGACATAATTTTTGCAACGATTTATTTGCCTTCTGCCTGATAGTCCACATCGTAGCGCCTGCTATAATCCAAGACCAAATCATTTATGACACTCTTGACCCTCTCGGCAAATATAAAGTCCAAGTGGCCCCAGGTGGGATCGGGCACCTCGTGCAGCAGCGCCAGATTGGGCAGCAGTTCGGGCAGCCGAGAGATATCCTGCCTATTGGCTGAGCCATCAGCCAAGCCATAGTAGAGATACAGCTCGGCTGTTATCAGAGTGAGATCGTAGGCTGGTGGCTCCGCCACACCGTAGTACGCCAAGTTCTTGCGGCTGCCCCAGTCGTACAGCCGGAAGTCATTGGATACGTACGACTGGATGAAGTGTATGGCCTGGTTGGAGGACACGCCCGCCGGATGAGTCTCAGCGATTTGGGGCAGCAGCGTCTGCATGGGGGGATACAAGGAATATGTAACTATTTTGGCCGGGAAAGGCGATGCGCTTACCTTATTGAGGTTACCGATTTCGGGACCACCCCAGAGCATGGCCAATGTCTTGCAGTAGCTCAATTGCAGCGGCCGATTGCTGCAGGCTGTGTCCAGCAGGCGCTGAATGAAATTATTGTACGGCAGCAGCACCTGATTCTCCAGCAGAGCCGTGCCCAAGCCGGGCTGCCCGAACACCGGAGCTGTGGCCACTATCAGGCCCTCCGTGGTATTGCCCATGAACACCGGCGGAGCCAGCATATGGGCGGTCTTGATTTTGGCATTGTACTCCGGCCGAAAGGAGCCCATGACAAAGAACGCGGTGCAGCCCTGGGAGTGGCCCACATAGTGCAGCGCTGGCTCCTGGCTGAGCGCGAGTATGTAGTCAATCATGGCGGGCAGATCGATGGCGCCCATCTCGTGCCAGCTGAATTTCCAAAAGTGCGGATGCCTCACATTCAGGCGGGTGTTGTTGCGCGAGTAGAGATTGCCGCGGCTGTTGCCCAGCCAGACATCGTAGCCGGCGTCCGCATAGTTGTAGGGCAGCGCATCGTCCGGCCCATTGAGCAGGAAGCAATCGGAGCAGCTGAACAGGCCGTGCATGATGAGCACCACCGGCCGCTGCAGCTGGCCATTGTTCAGCTTTGGCGAGTGTGGAATACGGAACAGATTCAGCACATACCCGTCCGACGTCTCCACGTAATGCGATTCGGCCGGATAGCCAGCCGACTCGATGCGTTCCGCCTGCAACAAACCAAATTTGCACCACAACAACAACAAAAATTTGATTTCAAATGGCTAAAATTCTACCGAAGTCTTCAGTCGCTTGAATGGTATGTCCATGAAAGCATCAAAGTCATCCACATCCTCGGACACTGCCAGCACCGTGCTGGTTATGGCCAGAACTATGAGAAGTTCCTTCAACATTTTTTGGGACAGAGTTTTGCTCCTGCTGCTCGAGGGGAAGTGCGTTGTACGACTATTTTTGTCAGGCTCGCACCTTTCGACTGTTGCTTGCAGTTGATCGCAATCTAATCTGCCGATTAACAGGCGAGTATTTATGCGGCTAGATGTGGTGGGGTCTGATACCAGAAATACGCCACTAAATACAAGATTTATGTACTTTCCGTGGCTGTCCATTTAGATTAGTTTGTTTTTGGCGATTAAGATTAAGGGGGGGGGTGCACATGCTGATACGGTTAATTGTTTTATGACTCTACGTAGTATATTTATTATATTTTTGTTTATTTATTGAAGTCTAGCAACTATCTGCTGATATAAACTATGATCAAAATTAAAGGAAAAGGGGATATAAGAAATAATTAAAGACAAGATGATTGTAGGTACAGGTACTGACTATAAATTTAAGGGAATAATTCAGGGGATTGGGTATGATAAAGATTATTATAATTAGAGCATAAAATAAATTAAATTAGAATAAAATAAAAAAAGATGGTCATGTTGAGCGTAATTAGACCTACAAAAGGTAGGTCTAAGGGGTCAAGAGGTCTGAGTCAACAAGCCCAACTCTAGGAGCTTGTGTACAAACATAACGCCGTTACAAGTGCTGTTTGGGACTTCTTGACTGCCAAGTACTCAAGGACCCTGGGCAGTGCATTCAGCTTTGAATGCTTATTTACAGTATGTCAACTAATTGTTTGCAAAATGAAATAAGCCAGACAATTCACTATAAAAAACAGGCATATTGGGTTGATTAATAATAAACACATGCTATAGGTATATTATTGCTTATATTTTAATCACACAATATTAATAATTGCTGAAAAATATGTGACATTATTATGATAATCGTGGTGATAATCGTACCACAAAGAGGCTGCCCAAAGGGAACTTGGAGCCAGAATTATTTTATAGTACTGAAAAGAGTTTAATTTCAGGTCGCAATTTTAATTGTTAGTCTGTGCTGCAAGCAACCAAATTTATTAAGAACTGAAAGGGTAGTAATGTAATGAATTACTTTAACCGTTTAACTGCATTTTAATCTATGCGCTGAAGAAGATGCCGATTTCTGCACCACTTGGCCCAGTTCAGTAGCCACCAGAATCCTTTGCAGCAGTGGAGCGAGTAAGCATTGTCCTCCTTCCATTCACAAATATGTAGCTTAAATCTGAACTACATGCTGCGCTCCTCACAAGCCTCCCCTCGATTACCCTCGCTCGATACACCCCCCCCACCCGTCCAATCAGGCAGTGCCCTTGCAGTGGGGCAAAGAGCCCCAGCAACACGCGTATCAACGAGTTGCGCCTGACTTGCTGCGATTTTTGCATTATGCCAGTGAATTGTAATGCGGCAAGATAGTGGAGGTGGAACTGCAGCTGTAGCTGGAGCAAGGGATTATTGTGGTGGTGGTGGGTTCGGGTTCAGGTTCAGAGTGCGAGGATGGTTGCTGGCTGCTGACTGCTGCTGTAGGTACTGTTCGTTCTGGTACTGGTAGTGCCTCCACACTGAGATTGGCATTAAGCATGGCAAAAGCCGCAAATTGCGAGCATCGAGGGCTGTCAGCTCCCCACGAAAGCTCTCTTCACGTGGTCTCACTCTGCCCTACTCATTCATTGTCTACAGATAAAGAAAAGATACACTAAATATAATATTAAAAATATTAAAAAATATTAAACATATCAATAAATTATTCTGCTCGTTTCATGGAATATTTTTTGCATATTTTGCTTGCTCCAATTCTTTGTTTTATCATCAAATCATATGAATATTTTTCTCAGTGTACTGCGGTTGCCTTTGTTGTGTGTGTGTGTGTGCTAGCAGTGTGGCATTGTCATGCCAATGTCGACGACGACGACGACGCCGACGGATATGCAGAGGAAAGAGAGATAAAGCGAACCAAACGTAAATGCGGTTCATTGAAATTATGTGAAGCGCAGGCAGAGATATAGAGGGGAGAGACAGAGAGAGACAGAGAGAGAGAGAGAATCTAAAGGGGGGACAAAGTGCAGCAGCACAAATTCTGTTGAAATTGCCAGGAAGGAGGCGTACAACCAAATACAAGCCCAACAACATAAAATAGCATAGCAAAAGTCTAGTGCTATATTTCGACAATTGGATACCCGCTAAGAGTACAACAAAATTAGATAAATAAGAACCTGATTATATTATTATAATTATTAAATTAATTATATTGTATTAATTTAATTATATGATTATCATATTAATAAATAAGAAATTAATTAATAAAATTAATATTAATATCAATAATAAAATAAGTAGATAATATATAGGAAATAGATTAATACAAAAAATAATGCCATTTTTTAATGTTAAAATGTGTATACCAAAACTATTGGTAATTGTTGAGAGTCCTGGAATATTTTTAAAATGAAAATAAATAAAAATAAATTTTGTAAATTTGTTCGTACATATACATATATGGCTTTATTTTTTCTATAAAAACAAAAATTAACAGAGCCTAGAAACAACCGAGAAATAATGTGTTTCTAATTTGTGAAATTCTACTGACAGAATATAAACTGGAGTCAGATAGGGAGCAGATACCTGCGCTGTGGGTTTTGAATATCCAACCAACAACTCTCCGGGCTGTGCTCCTATAGTCCACAATTACCGTGTACAAATACAGTTAAGTATTTTTTCGTGAAAATCGTTAGTGTCGGACGAATTGAGGAAGAAGAAAATGCGAAGTACCAACACGGAGCCAGACAGGCCTCCGCCTACATCAATTTCTCCTCGTTAGTTCGTTTTGAGAAATTACTTTTGCGGTCTCTTTTCTGTTTCTGTTTCTGCTATTTTGTTGTTTCTGCTATTTTGTTGTTTCTTCCATTTTGTTGTTTTGTTTCTTCTGTGGTGCTTCTTCGTCACTTTCCACTCGAAATTCAATTAAACAACTTAATTGGTTGCCTGATGAGCGCCAACTGTTTGCCAAATGCATTTAGATTGCATAAAAATGGCTTTGCTTTATTGCTGTTGTCGCTTTAATCGGATTCAGCAGCCGCCAACGGAAATCGTGACTTATCATAAATCTAAAAAGTTACGCCGCTGCGTCTCTTCAGTTGTCTCTTCAGTTGTCTGTGGCCAAGTGTTAGATGATAGACAGCAAGCAGCAGTGGCAGCAACAGCCCCAACCATCAATGTGTCAAGTTTTGCGTTAATGGGCAAAGTCAAAAGCCCACTTGCCAGTGAGCCAAATTGTTCTGCTTACCCCTCCCTCGTTTTATGTCCACTCATAGTCTGGGGTCAGGGCACAGTTGAATATAAAACTAAGCTGTGTTTATAAATAGAGCCACCTTTGTGCAGTGAAACGCAGTTGAGTGTTGCCTGCAGGTCAGGGGCATGGTTAAAATTTAAGCGACCGAAGAGCTGTACGCTGGAGGAGCCTTCACTCGTGCTATACTCGTACCTATACTCCTGCTAGTATCAGGCACAAACAATCAATTTGCACTTAAAAGCAATTATGAATGGCAGATCAATTACTTAAATGTTTTATTCTGAAGTGCATACATTCAGTGGAGCTTAAAAACGCAGACCGTGGTGTTGTCTGCTGCTCCTCTAGTGGATGATTTTCTGGCTGTCAGTTATGGTTTTGCTCAGAAAAAAAGAAAACAAAGATATATCTACAATTTAAGCATTTTCCAATTATTTGAAACTGCAAATCTAACTATGATATATATGTATGTATATATATATATATATTTTAAGTGGCTGAATTTTCATAGACGCTGCCTAAAAAGCTTAGAATTTTCTTGACTCAGAGGCACACCTATTTATAATATATTAAAACTATTTAAACTTAAACTTAAACCGCTTCAAGAAATAACATTTCATTGCTCAAAATCGTTCATTTCTGTTGACCCATCCGTTTCGAACTAAAATTTCCACCAGACCCACCAAACACCAACCCCCCCACCCACTCAAATCCAAGGCCAGGCAGTCAGGCTGACGCACTTAAAGCTCTGATGATTTGCAGACATCTATCTTGTTGTATATGCGATATCAAAATGCAATATTTCCACTAGAATAAATTTGCGTATTTCCCCGATGCATATGGCATGGCAACATTTTTTTTTCTCTTTTTTTTTTTTTGTGCTTCCTGGCAATTGACAAGCACAATAAATTGTGATATATGGGCGAGGCCTCATCCGCAGCCACTGGGTCCGGGGTCCCTGGGTGCTGCGCGTCTGGGGGGGAAATATTAAAATGTAGCAGGCAGGAGGAGTCTGTGTAGGAGTCCAAATGATGGCCAGGATATGCCAGCGAGGGTGTGAAATGAAAAAAAAAAAAAATATATATATACAACAAAATAAAATCAAAAGCAAAGTTTGATTCGGCAACGAAGCTTTTCATACCCTTAGGCCCTAAGGGTTGGGGATTTATTTGTAAATTGGTGAATATTTTTTTTTTTATATTATTATTATTTTTATTTTTATTATTTTTATTATTATATTATTATTTTATTATTATTTTTATTATTATATTATTATTTTATTATTATAGGCATATAATAATTTGTATGTTAATACATATTTAAATTTTAGAATTCTTAAATATTTTTTATAATTTTTTTAAACTAAAATAAATACTTGAAGCGCCATCTCAGAGGTCTGTAAGTCTGTAAGTCCTGCCTGCTTTACCTTGCCAACATCTAGTCATGGCGATAATCCCCCTTGCAAGGGTATAGTTATGCGGACCCATAAATTTCAGCAGCTAGCCGAGTCTGGGCAGGAAGGCAACTTCTCGCACTTTGGCAGCCATTTGCAAGATAAATTGCAAGTGGAATTCATTTCATTTCTGTTGCTGTCCCTCTCTCTTAGAACTTTTGTAAATAATTTTTCAAAATGCATAATAAATTGTTGCATACATTAAATTGCACACAAAATGTGCATTCCGTTCCGAGCTGCTGGCAGCATCATCATCAGCAACAATTGCAACTGAAACAACATCGTGACATGTCAGCGACAGGCTGACAGGAGGCTACGGCCAGGCCCAGCCGCCGCCACCCATGTGTCAGGC